ACACAGAATGTCCCTCCTATCCATAGGCTTGCTGAAGGAGCAAGTCAATCTCCTATCTGTGGAATTTCTGGGAATATCTCTTCCCCCTGTAATTTAACGTGACTCAATTCTCCATCCTGATAATACAAGTGGTGAGAAAAGCTCCTAATCCTATTGGCATACCCTCTTGTCAGCACCTCTTTATTTCACTGCTTTAAAGGCTCAACATGTTTTCATTTACAATAAGCACTAAGATAACTGCAGGTGCCCTCTCTAAAAGCAAGGTTAACTCACCTGAGATGAATTCTTTTATTGCAAACAAAAGCAACACATGAGCAGGAAATACAATTAATACAGGTGCTTCCCTGAAACTTAGCAAATCCCATTTGTCTTGAAATGACATAAATCCCCATTATATAAACAGGCCCCAAAGGCTTGATTTGTATTATTTCTGGAGAAGAAGGATTTAAGCAAAAGATAAATGGAGTTGTGATGGTAAGGAAAAAGAAATCCTTGTACTTACAAGGTATTTATTTGACAGTAAAACTACCAGTGTGCTACTTTGTGATGGTATTTAAAAATATGCAAATGCCTTAATAGAACCAAAAAAAGCCCAGCCTAGATGGGGTTTCCAAGTTAACTGTTTTTTTGCCGATGATGTGTAGTGTTGTGTATTTGCAACATACCTCTCAAGCATTGTCTGAAGCATGAATCTCTTAATGATTTGCTGTTTGGTGATATTAAAGTCAGATACTTCTGGGGATGAAACATTGACAGACTGTGAGAACCTTGTGTTTCCAAGGTGGCAGAAGGATGCTCCTTCCTAACCCTCTCCAGGAGGACCCTGCAGAGTGCAGCCTGGACTCCTGCTCCTAGTGGGGCTTTTTGCACTACCAGCAGCGCAGCTCCAGCCCTCCTGGAGGCAGGGAGCAGGGGCAGGTCCATGGAACTGCCTCTACACCCATTGTCCACAAGGTTGCTGCTGTCCCTAGGTATGCTGGAGCTCAGGGCTGGCATGTCTGGTGAGCCCATGCCACTGCATGTTGTTTTCTTTAGATCATGCCCTTATCTTCCTTTTGCAATTAACAGTATGAGCCCTTGGTGTTTATAAACAGGTAGGAGGAAGATGTAAGGCTATCATAGCTGCTTACAGTCTAAAAAGCCAGTTCAAAATGGTATTTAAATTATCATTTATCTTACCTATTTCCTTTATAATTCATATATAACTGCTTAAACAACACACTCCAAAATTACCTAAATCAATAAAAAAAAGGGAAAAGAAATTGTAACACTTAATGGGATCATCATACAAACAACTGCAATTATGTTGACAAGTATATTACACTGGTTTAGATATTCAGCTGTATCATCACCAAATACAGTATCCTCTTTCTTCACCCAGAAGCTGTGCTATGTCTGATGAGTATTCCCGATCCTCAGTTTTTTGACAGATGAGGCCCTGATTTTTGCAACCAGTCCTGCTTGGTTGGATTTCTGCAGCCCTGTGTAAACTATTGCCTTCAAGATAACTATGACCCCCCAGGGGTCAACCTACAAAAAGCTGATTGCATCATCTGGGCCAAAGCTGAAATACTGAATCAGGCTGGTCTCCTTTCTCTTCCTTATATTCTAATAAGCTAATCCAGTACCAAGAAATCAGAGGAGTAAAGCTTTATTATTTCCCCATGTACACCTCCCCAGGCTTGAATTCATTGCACATCTCAAATGTCCACCATTACCCATGGGATCTGTAGGTGTAAATAAAATTCCGGATCGGTCCTTTTTCCCTGAAAATTCAGAATTTATTCAGACAGCTACAGCAATGTTTACAAGTCCCAGTCTGCAGACACTACTTGCTCCAGGAGTGACAAGTTGACATAGTTGTATGCTCAATTAAACCCGCTCTTCCTTTTTAAACAAGTGCCTTAGACTACTAAATTATGTGCAAGTTTTCTTGTACACTTTGACTACATTAAACTTAAGATGCCAAACTTTGGCTGCAAACCTTAACTTGGTTATTTGGAGAAGACTTAACACAGTTTTCTTTGACAGATATTGAAGTAAAATAAAAATCACTTTAATGTTTTTTTTCCATTTTACAGGAAACATGCAGCTTCCCCAGGAAACAGTTCTTAAATGTATGATGTGTAGAACAAAGTATGAAAGCCCTACTTTCCAGAACTCTCAAGAACAAGCAATTCCAGCTGATGCTGGAGATGGAGAATCATTACCTGAAAATCTAGTCCTGATGTTCCACACAACCTGCTTTGAAAACTTTACCAACTATTCAGCTCAATACTCAGGTTGCAGGTGCGGTTATTTTGCTTTAGGGCTCTTTTCTTACAATTCATCTCCCATGAATGGGCTCTTTCCTTCATGTAGAACCCCACTGAGGTGAGCAAAGGATTGGTGTCTGAAAACGGAGGTGAGTGTAATGATTTGCTAGAATTATATTCCAGTTTGGCTGAGTGGCCTGTGGATGTAAGTGTCTTTTTGGGAAAATGGGTCATTTTTACAAGAAAAGCTATTTTTACTGAAATTCTTTAGGGTTTTTGTTGCCAGATCAGTGAATGAAAACTTCACACAGCAGAGGCAGCAAGCTTCTCCTGGTGCTACTATCCATTTTAGGGTATTCATAACTCTTTCTTTAACAGGTGGAAGAGACAAGCAAACATCTGTGTCTCCAAAAATAATTTTTGGGTTTCTCTCAAATGGGTTGTTTCCAAAGAACAAAAGTTGCCTGAGGATCTTTTAGAAACTGAAAGTCATCACCAACTCCTTATCTGATAGATTCAGAATTCCAGAAAGACCACCTTCCACACCCTGAACCTCCTGAGGAGAACTAGAGGTAGATAGCTTTACCTTCTCACTGCCACAAGCAGCTTCAGAGGGACATGTTAGGTCCGTTGCTCCCACCAGTGGTTGGGGTGTTCAGCCTCCAAAGTTGGAGGGTCCAAACTCTTTTCTGCTTCATGAAGCTGTTTTATTTTTGAAAGGTCCACATTTGCTGTAATTCAGGAGGTCACTGAGAGGCATTCGTGCTCAAGATATCAAATGCTGAATGGGAAAGGCTGAAGTAGGGATAACATCACTGAGCTGAAGTGCTTCAGGTGTGTTGGCCTTTCTTGTAGGAATCAGTCACGTTCCCTGGTCTTACTAGCTCACATGAAAGGGATGACGATCCACTTCATTCATGGGCGTTTCATTTGTCTAAATTGAATCATAGCCAGAAGTGGCTAGTGATGCAACAAATGCCGATGCATCTTAAGCATGATATGAAACTTATCTACCAACTGTTTGTGCAGAACTTAAAATGAGAAGCACTGCTATGTCAGTAAAAAATACACTTTGCATCTTCAAAAAGGTGCTGTTATTTCTGGATATGGTTTTCAGATGTGCCTGCTCCCCAGCTGGTATTGCTCTCAGTCAAGTGGAAAGGAATTTTACTATAAAAGTTTGATGTCTTTTGAAAATCACACCTAATAATCTCTCAGAATTTATAAGGGAAGTTACTTTAAATCTAACGAAATGCAGTATCTGCAATACAACTTGCCAGGATCAGATATAAATGCTGTACATGCAGATAGAGAGACACAAACGGTCATTTGCAAACAGAGACAGCTGTTACCACGTGCTGGTGCTATTGAGATGTTGTGGTAGGTTTGGCATTCTTATCTCATTCTTGCTTCAAAGTCCAATTGTGCTTGCAATTGTTCTGATTATTTAGCAGAGCACAAAAGTAATGTTGTTTTCCATGTTGCCACACTAAGAGGTGTTTCTTATGCAGGAGATAACCACATTTGCTTCCTTTTAAACACTGTATTCTACCCTTCTCTTTGTCTCCATTTATATAAGCCAAAATGTATATTAAAAAGGTATTTGTCCCCTAATTCCTCTAGTCTAAAAATCACGTATTGTGACAGACCTTCTCCCCTGCTTTGATTCCTATGCCAACATCATGTTGTACACTGCAATGAGCAGAAAATACATTGCAGTATCCTGCTGGGGATTTTTCCATTGCAGCAGATTTCCCAAGCGTGCCTGACCAGTGCCCGTACCTCCAGCATGGGAGCAGGACGTGGACAAGGGGCCAGCGTGTCCCAGCCACAGCTCGGGTGAGCTACAGCATTTTTATAATTATAAGTAAATAGGCTTTTAGCATCAGCAAAGCCCCCATAATCTAATAGTAGTAATCTAATCAAAGAGCTTGTGAAAAACAGATTCTATATCCATATAATGATGTGATGACCTATAAAATGATGATAGATGTTCCTAGCTGGCATTGGTAACTAGGAGAGAAAACAGGTTTATTGTGTGCATTATCTGAAAATGTAAATTCCATGTTGATATGCTGATCTGTCTGCAGAACTCTGGTGTTCCAATTGTTAAGTCTGCAGATGGGTTGGATGGAAATATATAAACTAGGAAATAAAAAGGGATTATAAAACATAGGACAGGACATGACATGAAAGAGCAGAACAGGCAGAATAGAATAGAATAGAATAGAACAGAACAGAACAGAACAGAACAGAATAGAACTGAACAGACTATTTCAGTTGGAAGGAACCTACAACAATCTAATCCAACTGCCTGACCACTTCAAGGCTGACCGAAAGCTAAAGCATGTTATTAAGGACACTGTCCAAATGCCTCTTAAGCACTGACAGGCTTGAGGCATCAACTGCCTCTCTAGGAAGCCTGTTCCAGTGTTTGACCACTCTCTTTTCAAACCTTATAAAATATCATTACTGAATGCCTGTGCTAACAGAACTCCCGCCTTCTCCTACCTATTTTATCAGCAACAAACAGTGTCAGCAAAAAAATTTACACCATAACCAGCAGAAATCAGCCCTTTCCAGCACATGAGAAACAAGCCAAGACTGGCAGAAATAAAGTTAAAAAAGAGAAATACATGAGTGAAGCCTGGGAAGAAGGCAGGGATGTGGGGAAGGTGTTTCAAGATTTGGGTTTATTTCTTATTATCCTACCCTGATTTGCTTGGTAACAAATCAAACTAACTGCCCCAAGTTGAGTCTGTTTTGCCCCTAATGGTAACTGGTGAGTGATCTCTCCCTGTCCTTATCTCAACCCATCAGCCTTTCATTGTATTTTCTCTCCCATGACCAGCTGAGGAGGGGAGTGATAGAGAGGTTTTGTTGGGCACCTGGTGTCCAGCCACGGTCAACCCACCATATATATACCTACCTCAAAGGCATCTGGGTTCAGATTAAGAAAGGACGGATTTCATGTATGTGGAATGTATAAGGAGGAACTGTAGGTATTGCTTCTTTTAAGTACAGAGTACATATGTAGAAGTACTGAGTATTTCTGTGTTTGTGTTAAGTCCTCTTTGTTCCTGTATTTCATAACCACATTCTTTCTATTTTCCATTTGCTGAAAAAAAGAAAAAAAAAAGAAGAAAAAGGAAACTTTAAGTTTAGGAAGGAATCCCTGCTATCCGGCACCATGCAATTAGCATATATGAATAGGAAATGAGTTCCTGCTGCTCTGGACCATTGTTAATCCATATTGATGGGCTAGAAAACATGACATCAACTGTAAAAATCCAAGAACATTCCTTAAAATATTCAAATGATGTGCCTGGCCCTGTATTCACTCTGCATCTCAAATTCGCATTGACTTTGTGGGTGCTTGGAATGCAGGAGGAATGCAGGATTAGGTACACAGCTACGTGTGGTATACCCACCTTCGCAGCAGAAACAGTTTTCAATTCTGTTTGAAATTCTCTGAGACAAATATTCAGGTCAAAGGAACTATACAAAAAATGCACAGAAATTTTGTACAGCTGCTGTTTGTTCTGGGCCAGATGCCACCATAAGCTGGATGGGGCTCTGTTTAGCTGCTGCTGAAGTGGTATGAGCACACTGCACCATGCAGTGCTTGAGGAGGGATTATGGAGCTAACCACCCTTTGTGCTCCCTCACTAGACCCACACCTGACTGTTCTTTCAATGTCTTATTTTTACAACCTTTATGCAAACTGGTAGCATTTCAAACTTGTCTTTATTTGATGACTTGTAAGGGTGGGATGAAAATGTCATCAGCCTGCTGATGGCTGAGACACTGAGCATTCCTGCGTTTTCCGGGAAGTTCTCAAGAATTAGCATTGAGGAAGTGCTCTGGAAATTGCTGAGTGAAAAAGAATCAGGCGTCATCTCAAGTGGTGTATATTAGAGCAGCCCCGGAGCTGATATTAAATGCTGCCAAAGCCAAAATTGGCCCCTGTAGCACAATCACATTCACTTTCACCATCCTTTATCTTTTTCATCATCTTTCGTGCAGAGAAGCATCCCCTTCCAAGCCAACAGATTGTATCTGTGTATCTTTGCTTCCATTAAAATGCACATAGAAATACCATAATCCATAAGAAGATGTACTTCTGAGTTCAAATCTGTCTGTGAGAGAATATCTGAGTATCCCTAGGGTTCCCAGAGAAATGTATCTGTGTACCTAATGTCAGCCTGCTATGGCATGGGCTGGCTCAAAGGCTTTCTCTCAAAGCCCATTTACTTAAATCGTGGTTCACAAATTACTGAACTTCTCAACTTTAATGACATCTTCTGAACCATCATTATTGATAGCGAAAGTGTGTGAGCCATTTCTCACTCAACAAATAAAGGTTCAAAAGTTTCAAGCACAAGGTAGCCCTTTACTTTTCAGACCAATCTTTCTACCCCAAAAAGTCAAAGCCATTAGTCCATTTTAGGATTTGCAGGCTGTGAAATGTCATTCTAAAAAGAACACCCATTTCTGAGTTATTGGAGTACAAAAGCTGCCTTATAAAGGTATCACAGTACCACTGATAATAGCTTTGGCAAAGACCTTTCAGGTCATCCAGTCCAAACTCCAGTAAGGAACAGTTATACTAACCTTTTGTATTAGCCTTGTTTTGAACACCTCAAAACTGATGTAACTCCATGACTGAGGACTTTGTTCCAGCACCGATTTCCTTCTCCTGTAATCCTCTAAACTGGATATTCCCTTTCTTTAGAGTTAGGACTTTAGTCTCCTTTTATTATCTTCAGCAGCACAAATTGTTTCTTTCCTGAATTCTTGTCAATTTTTACCTCATATGAGTGGAAAGTCTAGTTCGGATGGGCAGCTGGTGAACTGATGGGTTTCTCAACCTTTATAGGGCTGTTTTCACTCTCTTATCATTTTGCCAGGCTTAAACTCTTTGAGCTGACACTTTTCTGCTTCTAGGCGTTTTCTCCGAGGGTGCAGAAGCTGAAAGATCCAACAGTTTCCAAAATCAACAATAGGAAGAAACATGATGTTAAGATATTTGGGTGGCATTTTTTGCCAGAGTGATATTAAAATATGGTAGGGACTGCTTTCCATTGAAAAATATGCTTTTTTAAATCAACACTGAAACCTGTTCATCATATTATTGGGCTCTGGAAAGCCTGCAAAAAGAAAGGGGAGGTTGGGACAGGCAATCTGTCAAATTAATATGGACCAACTGAAATCCAGGCAGTTTTTGGGGAGCTGTCATGGTTTAAGCCCAGCCGGCAACCCAAAACCATGCAGCCATTCACTCGCTCCCCACCCCCTCCCCCCCCCCCCCCTTCCTCCCTCCACTCCTGGAGGAATGGGGAGGAGAATTGAAAGAATCTAAATCCCACGGGTTGAGATAAGAGCAGTCCTGTAACTAAGGTATAACGCAGACCACTGCTGCTACCACCACCAATAATAATGATAAGGGAAATAACAAGGGGAGAGAATACAACTGCTCACCACCCACTGACCGATACCCAGTCTGACCCGAGCAGTGATCTAACCCTTCTGGGTAACTGCCCCCAGTTTATATACTGGGCATGCCGTGCTGTGGTATGGAATACCTCTTTGGTTAGGTTGGGTCAGGTGTCCTGTTTCTGCTTCTTCCCAGCTTCCCCTCCTCCCTGGCAGAGCATGAGACTCAGAAAGTCCTTGGTTGGAGTAAGCATTACTGAGCAGCAACTAAAACCATCGGTGTTATCAGCATTGTTCCCAGGCTGAAAGTCAAAACCACAGCACTGCACCAGCTATTAAGAAGGAGAAAAATGACTGCTACTGCTGAACCCAGGACAGCAACTTACTGCAGTGTTTAGTCATTTGACTACAGGAAAAACTGAGCTTGGTAGTTCTCACTGACTTTACTGGGATAGCAGACTGAGTTTCAAATAACACTGCTGCAGGACAGCAGAAAAAAAAAAGTCAAAGCATTTCAAGGGCAAAAGTCATATCTTTCACTAGGAATCTTAATTTTTAATGGACGTTTTACTGTGTAGCCTGGTGAATAAAGCATTGGGATTGCAAATGCTCATTAGATTATATTTTAGAACAACTATTTAGCTTGCTGCAATTGTATTTACTGGTCAACTAATTCATACTGAATTCCAGCTGAAGTCTCAGGAGAATCAGCTTTCTCATGATATTTCAGTGTTTCTTCTTCTTTTGCATCAGCTATGAAGTGGAGAAATGACAGATGTAAGCCTACTGAAAACTAGGAAGGAAAGGTTGTAGGGCCTCTCAGCAATGGGATTCAGAGCTGTCCATGCACAGAGGATACACAGGACACCTCCAGAGGTGGGGTCACCTTCCAATCCTCTTCCACCACACCTCGTGCCTTGCTTCCCCCTGTCCCCCAGGCGCCCTCTCCTGCAGCCCCTGTGGAGGCAGGCAGGCAGGCGGAGGCAGGTGGCTGCTGTTGATTTGCATCTGCCTATTTCCCAGTTGCTACGACAACCCACCAGAAAGTGCATCAATACCTGCATCATCAAACCTCACAGAGCCAGTGACAGGAGGTGGCTGTCACATGAGCCTTCAGCTCAGGCTGGCAATGCCACCCCACTCCCTCTGCAGCAGGGCAACAGCAGACAGGCAGATCACCCTGCTCAAAGCCACAGCATGCTAGTAGCTGGCAGATGTAGTAGCTGGCTCCTTGCACTCTGAGCTGCTAACATTAAAATGCCTATATGAGGTTTTGTTTTCTACTGTTCCTATCAAAAATTGCAGTGAAGTTTACGCAAAATGGATCATTATTTCATCTAGTTCATTGCTCCTTCCCTGAGCTATCATATCCTTTCGTCCTCAGTGTTACCATCAGTGTCTTTCCCTTTTTCATAACACATGTGAAATTGAAATATTTTTTCGAACCCTTACCAAATTTCTGTCTAAATGAGGTGCTTTCATTAGATACTGCATTGCCTGCTTTGTGTACTTGGTTGTGTTTAGGAAGTGAAAGCAGAGCCTACCTGTATTTCTATTTCAGTATAACAAAAGATCAAAACACCACAGAAGCTGTGTCACACAGTGTGTTTTCCACCGGTATATGTTATTAATTTTGTTCTCAGCAAAGCAGTGTCATTTCAACTCACAAGAGGAAGGGATAGCTTCTCCCTCCATGCAAGTTGGTATGTTAGACAATGGGTGAGTTTATCCCACCCAACCGCTAGGAAGAACTGGGGAAATGAAAGCCTCTTTAGTCATTGCCGGATATCAGCTCCTAATTTTAGTCACTCAGCAGCATTTCTGAGAGTAGATGATTGCTTTGAAAGGCCCTTGTGATGTTTCCTCAGTCATTCAAAAGCAATGTATTATTTTTAACTCGGGGCATTTTACCACCTTCTTGCCCACCAGCCTGCCTGGATTTCTCCCTTATTACAACTCCTACACTGGAAACATTTTCTTCTCTCATTATTTGAAAAGTAGAAGTTACTGAAGCTATATAAATAATTCATAAGCAAGCATGCCTGCCATGTGTGGGAATAAATTGTACGTGTGTGAGAGGAAGAGTTCAGGGGGTACAAAAATTGGAACAAATGAGTGCAAAAGACACTAAAACCAGGCTGGATTTGTGGCTAATTTTTACCAGGCCAATAAAATGCAAGGGCGAAAAAGCAAGGGAAATGGGCTTGAAGCAAAGGCCTAACCTGGAAGCAATTTGAGGCCAAGACAGCATGTTACATGTGTGTGCACCATCTGAGTACATGCTCTGTGTAGAGGGGGAGTGAAAGCCGTTGTCTATATATGTACCATAATATGGCTAACCACACTCATATTCACTACTAATGAAAACCAGCATGTAGTACCTTGTACCTTTTACCTCCCTCATAGTAAAGGGGATTCATGCAAGAAGGAGAGAAAGGAATCGGTGGTGAGAGATGTTCTCATTTCAATAAAAGTTACAAATAATAAAAGAAGAATATTAAAGAGACTGAGTAAAAATAAACATAAGAAAGAATAAGAATAAGAGTAAGAATGATGAAGGTACTTTGACTTGAATACTTTTTAGCTGACCTGTTGTGTGTTTGGTAAACTTTGCAAAGAGGTTGGCCTTTGCAGTCAGCTTTGTCTCTGTCTTTGTCCATCAATGCCACTACAACAAAAAGAGCTGAGATATGGAGTGCCCAAAAGCTGAAGAGAGGGCTCGGCACTTTGCAGATTTTGGTCCAGGACTTGAACTGAAGTGTGGGTGGTGCAGTTCTTTTCTGGAGCAATCCTTACTGCACTCAGTTGAAGAAAAAAGTGTCAAAAGCCACCATTTGCAATGGTGCATAGGACAGATCTGTCAGAGGATTTAATCCTCTGTGTGTTGAATGCTGGGATTCTTGGCTCATGAGCACTAGCACCTTTTGCCTCCTCCATGAGTATCTTTCTTTGGGACAAGAACAGTGAGGTATCTCCAGCAGGGAACTGGACATCCAGCCCAATGAGTTAGGAGCTCGTAGGCAGGTGAGAGACTGCCTGGGAGATGGCTGTGTGTGCCCCGTCCCTCTCCAGGACTAATTGCCTGGCTCAGGATGGTGAGGAAACTCTGCAGAGTCCTTGGGACAACAGCTGAGGTCCTCCTCAGTTTCTGGACATGGTAAGCTTGACTCCATTTTAACTCCCAAAGTTTGTAATTAGGAAGCTAAGAGGTGGATTATGCATATTTCCCATTGACTTCTGCTGTGAAGCACTGAAACAAGGTTGGGAGTTGCCAGGCACTGCCTCCCAAGGACCACCTAGGACAGCCAAGCTGTATTAACAGCGGCCTTGAGGTGTATTTGGGAGAGACATCAGTATTCCTGCCTCCCTCTTCTCAACCCACCAGCTTCACCCTGGGCTCAGGGATACACTCCTTGAAACCTTCAGATGTATCAGGCCCCAGCTGGGCTCCCGCACCTGATGAACAAGCTTTGAGCCCAAGATATCACTGGATGGGATGGAAAGCCCTTGTCATGGGGCTTGTCCCATGAGCATGCTGTGGCCAGTCTCTGGGAGCATCAGCTGAATTAGGCCCTCACGGGACTTAGGTGGAGAGAAAACTGAATTCTGCTTCAGCAGGAACAGAGTACCAAGGGGTGCAAGCTGAGAAGGAAAGGTGAGGTTCATGAGTTCACCTTCATCCCGCAAGGGATAGGTATTTTAGCTAATACCTGTCTGGGTTCCCACTACAGCCGGTGGAGATAAAAGGGATAAAGCACTCTGGACAGACACCCATTTCTTTCCACTGGCTATTGCCATCGCTTAGACAGCTTTCTTCAACTGTATGTGACTTCTGGTTACTTCCAGATGGCTAAAATGAAACCAGCTGGATCCTGTTCTGGGTACCTGAAAGCAAAAGTCAAGCAGGGAGGCACTTCTTTTAGGAGTTAAGCAGCCCCTGGAAATGGGCCTGTTGGCTCACAGGCTTGGCTTTAAGCAACTCTATCCTGGCTAATTCTTGTTTCAAACAAGTCTGCTGGTGTGTTATTTTCCTGATGGGAGGTCACAAAGAGTAGGTAAGGCCAAGCAAGTGCTGAAGATTTGGCCCACTGGATTTTAAAGTAGAGACAGGTCTCAAACAGCATATGGACTCTAGTGCAGAGGCATGTGCAACACAGTGCCAAGATAAGCTCAGCGTTTTCCTGTTATCAGTATGTACATCACCTTTGACATTGCTTGACAAAAAAATGTTTTATAAAACAGGCACATTCCTCCTCCACAGCTCACAGAGATACAGAAACTGAAATCATATTTTATGAATGGAAAATGAAATTAGCCTGAAATTACAGTGATAAATGTAGCTTTAGAAAATCTTAATT